GTTTCAGAAGTGATTCAAGCAACATGTATTGTCAATGCAGCAGAGGAGTCGATGGCTGGGTCTGGACACTCAGGAAAGCTTCATGATTTGGGCCTAAATCAAATAGATATCCAGTCATGTGATGTGTCCGAAGAATGGAAGGAAAAACTGGCCAACCTTGTTGTTAAATACGAATAAATTTTCTCCCGAGACAGACTTGACTGTGGTGAAGTGAAGGACGTTGTACACCGGATTAGACTGAAGGACGAGAAACTTTTCAGGTTACCATACAGAAGAGTTTCACCATCACAGTATCAGAAGCTTAAGCAGACGCTTGATGAAATGGAGGAGAAAGGAATTATTGGCAGGTCCAGCAGTGAGTGGGCTTCTCCACTTGTCTTGGTCTGGAAACCTTCAGGTGAACTGAGAATTTGTACTGATTTCAGATGGTTGAATCAGAGAACCGAAAAAGATGCTTATCCCTTACCTCATCAGTCTGATGCCCTCGCCGCCTTAGGTGGCAATTGCACCTTACATCTGGGTTCTATAATATACCCATACATGAAGATGATCGCAAATATACAGCGTGTACTACACCTGTAGGTCTTTATGAGTACAATCTAATGGCCCAAGGATTATGTAATAGTCCAGCTACTTTAGGATTTGCTAGGATGATGACCTCAATATTTGGCGATCAAAATTACATGTCACTCCTGTGTTATTTGGATGTCCTCTTGGATTTTGGCGAGCGTGAACAAGAAGCCCTAGATCGCCTTGAGCTGGTATTTTCACACTTGAGAGAACATAATATGAAGCTAGCCCCAAAGGAGTGCTACTTCCTAAGGAACTCTGTCAAATTCTTGGGCCATATAGTCACAGCAGAAGGCATTGCTGCTGATCCTGCGAAAGTTTCTGCAATTAATGAGATTACGGCAAATGATCTAATGGAAGAAGATGGGAAAACGCCTTCCTACACCAAAGTCAAATCTTTTCTAGGTATTGCCAACTATTATTCACACTTTATTGAGAATTTCTCACGTCTGGCAAAGCCATTATTCCAGTTAACAGCAGGACAAAGGTTTAAGCGCAGAGGTGCAAAGGTCAGTGCTAGGCCATACAGATGCCTCAGGCCAGAAGATTGGACATCAGATTGTGAAATGTCATTGGAAAAGCTTAAGAAGGCTATTCGCACCAGCATAATTCTGGCTCACCCTGACTTTAACAAGCCATTTATATTATTTACTGATGCATCAATGGATGGCTTGGGTGCAGTTCTGAGTCAGGTGGTTGATGGTGAGCTCAAACCAAGACCGGTTGCATTTGCAAGCAAATCCTTGTCCTGCTCTCAAGCCAGGTACCCAGCACATCAGTTGGAATTCTTTGCCCTTAAATGGGCGGTGTGTGATAAGTTTGCTCATTGGTTAAAAGGAGCTCACTTTACAGTGCTAAACAATAACCCATTAACATACATCATGACCAAGCCCAAGCGTGACGCTTGCGAGCAACGGTGGGTCTCGAAGTTAGCACCTTTCGACTTTGATCTTAAATGGATGAGGGCAACAGCTTCTAATGTATTAGAGAATATAGTGTCCATATTGCTAGTCATTTCGTCTATTTCATGTGTATTTATGGGTACAGAACGATGATGTGGTGGTGCGGGTGATCTACGTCCTTGAAAGAAAATGACGACCGTCACGGAGAGAAAAGGTTCACGAGACAGCTCAGGTGCTCCGTACGTTGAAACATTGGGAAAAACTGGAGATCAGAGATGGAGTCCTTTATAGGATATCTAAGGATAAAGTGGGGAAGAGAAGGTATCAGCTTGTAGTGCCTAACTCTCTGAAGTTGACCGTCTTAAGGGGAACTCACAATGATGTGGGCCATCAGGGCAAGAGTAGAACCCTCCATATAGTTCGCCAGAAATTTTTCTGGAATGGAAGGGATAATGAGGTGAGGAAGTATGTGACGCACTGCAAACGTTGTGTTCTTAGCAAGACACCAGAGCCAGATGCTAGGGCACCTTTGGAATCTATCAAAACTTGTGAACCACTAGAGCTGGTGTGCATTGATTTTTGGTCTGCTGAGGGGAGGAATGGTGACAGTGTGGATGTGCTCGTTCTCACAGACCATTTTACCAAATTGGCACATGCGTTACCTTGTCCTAATCAGATGGCAAAGGTGGTGGCCCAAAAACTCTGGAACCAGTTCTTCTATGTGTATGGGTTTCCTCGTAGGATCCACTCCGACCAAGGAGCGAATTTTGAGAGTAAACTTATATCTGAGCTGCTGGAAATATCAGGAGGAAAGAAATCTCACACCACCCCCTACCACCCTATGGGAATGGCCAAACAGAAAGGTTCAACAGAACTCTTGGCAACATGATTCACTCTCTCCCTGCTAGAGCAAAAGTGCACTGGCCCCAGATGATACAAAACAGATGCTTAACTTTTGCTTACAACTGCACAATACATGTTTGGCAGGGTTCCAAGACTGCCAGTAGACATCATGTTTGAGAGTGTACTGAGAGATAATGAAGTGGTGGATTATAATGATTATGTCAATTCATTCCAGAGAAACCTAAAGGAAGCCATTAGGATTGCTCAAGGCAGCACAACACAGGCTCAGAAGAAGCAGGCTGAACAGTACAACAAACGAGTCAAAGGCGTTGCCTTGGAGATTGGAGACAACGTTCTGTTGGCCAATCATAGGGACGCGCAAGAGGGAAATTGGCTGATCTGTAGGATTCAACTGTTTATGTTGTCACATGGAAAAACCCTAATGTGCATGTTTACAAAGTTGAGGACCCTGTCACAAAGAAGAACAAAGTAGTTCATAGGAACTTCATACTGCCTGTAAATTTCCTTCCGATCGGCCAGAGTGATACTGAATCTACTGTACTTTCAACCTTGTCGAAGGACGAGTCAGATATGGAGGAGCCAGACCCTAAGGAAGCACCGAGGGATGTTGATGAAGACTATGATGACCAGAGAACTGCTGCTTGGGTGCTTCAAACTGAGGGTCCAGAGATTCAACCACAAGACGTGTCGAGAGCAGATACACAAAGAGGATCTAGGCAAAATGATGTAGGCAGTCAGCATTCACCCACTGATTTTCCTGATGCGGATTTGGACGATGATGTTGGGAATCCAGGTAAGCAGTGGAGTGAGTGTATTCAGTCAGAAGACACCCTGAGTAATACGACTGTGTCAGGCTGCACCCTAAGTGGTAGTAGTAGTTCACTTGACTGCTTAAGACATTGCTCGAGTGTAGAAAGCTCTGTAAGTGTTGAGGACAGTGACACAGGAAAGAAAGACAACAGTGTAAAATTAAATGGCATTACTGTGCATACACGGTCTGGTAGGATGGTGAAGCCAGTTAGGAGGTTGATAGAATCCATGAGTATGTTGATGACTGAACCTGGAAAAAAAAGAAACTCTTACTGATTTGATGCAAATGCTGTCCACATTTTTTGAAATCTAAAATTATCTTACAAAAGAACATGTAGTTAAGGAAAACAGTTTGGGGGAAATCATATAACTAACCTTTGTATTTATGTATATGGGCATTTATCTATCTGACGGATTAATCTGTGGTCTTCACAGACGACTTCACGTCATGGTTTCAAGGTCAAGTAAGGAAAAATGTACCCCATTTTCATATTTTTATTATTCCATAAATTTTGATGAAACTGGGAGGGGTGAATGTAATGGTGTGAATGTGTTGCGTTTCATCAAAATGCATTTTATTTATAAGACAAAGAATAAATCAAAGAAGTTCAGATTGGAGTACCCCACATGTCATTAAGGGGGGTTGAAGAATACATATACAATTCATACAACATTGGAATTATGAGTGTTCTATGTGGCATTCAATCATCTGTGTTTGCTTTTTTTTAAAAAACAGCAATTGCACAATTGCTCCATACTGCATGTGTTTGAACAGAAAGATGTTATATGTCATCGAGTTTTGCCAATTGATATACCTCCCCTCTCTGATCAGTGGTATGTTCCAGGGGTGCCATACTCTTCAGTCTGCAGGAGGCACTCTGAGGAGAGATTATAAACAGAACAGAGACGATTGTTGTAATACTGTCCCATTCTATGCTTGCAGTAAACACCTTAAAAGAGTCTACTGGTGTTCATCCTTTTTGGCGGGTTTGGTCCTGTGGTGCATAAGAAATCTTCTACACCAGAACTAACCGTTTTAAAATACAATTTAACTTACCATGACAAATAGAAATAGGAATAATTGCAAATAGATCAAAACAGTATTATGTTAGGCTATAGAAAAATTATTTAACATATCACAAAAATAAAACAAAACAAATCTATACTATCCTAATTATTATTCAGTTATATTGCACGTTGGGCTCATTTTTTTCTGCAAATGCAATAGTTGTGCAAGCGTATTTATTTATTTTTGTATTTTTTACTATTATTCACATCGGGATGTACTTTAACCCACATGGTATAATTTAATTTAACATATATAATTTAAGCTATGTGATAACCTATTACGGTGTCTCGTCATGAAAATAGCAGACCATTTGTTGTTGGTTAAAATAATCACTAGGCTGCACAATTGGTATCCAACAGGCGAAGTTTGTCTGGCATTTTGCAGTATTTGAGGGGTGTTTTGAACATATAATGGGGACATTTACGCAGACAACTCCAGTCGGGGACAAGACAACAAAAAATCGAGACTGTCCCTGGAAAACGAAGACTGAAATTGAATAACACTACTAATAGGCTATTAATTATTTATTTGAATTATATGAATAGCATTTATTTATTTTATTTATTTTCCAATGCCACTGATCGTATTTTCTTAAAGGTATTTATTCTTACTTAAGGCATTGCCTATAGTTAGTGAGCTTGAGTGATGGTGCTAAAATAGAGAAACCTGAAGGCTGTAGTAGATCAACAGTGTAGATAATAGCAAGCGCAGCTTACACACTCTTAAAGCTGGGCTGCATGTGTAATGCTGTCCCTGGTTGGTTAGATTACAAGTGAGCAAAGATTAAGCAAATGAAGTCTGAAGCAGTTGCCCAAAATAACGTCTAGTCTCCATCGTAGGGCTGCTCCGTGCAGCATATGACAGTGCTTAGGTGCGATAAATTGTTTAGGTACGTTAACTTAAATCCTGCTCAAGATGAGGAACACAGTGAGTATTTTTCAAACTTTATGACTGTACATGGAGTTTGTTATTTAAGGTTGATTTTGAGGCTTGTAACGTGTTTGCTTAAATTGTCTGTAGTTGTCATCGAACAAATCTTCTTTGTATTAAGCTATACTTAGACCACAAATGGACATTAGTTTTTAGAAAATAAATGAAAATAATTATTTTCTTGTGTATGAAAAAAATAACATTTATTTATGGTAACCTTGTGATGGAATGTAATGCTGTTCATAATAGCCATTCTGACTGTCAACAAGATAAAATTAAATGTGTTAATTGGGTTTAATCATTATATATTAATTATAATAACTATTGAAAATAATTAAAGAAAGATTATTACATAATCTATTAAAAACACTTTGAGGCAGTCTTTACAATTTAAAGCTTGTTGTCTGAAAAAGATCTTCATTAATATTAATATAGTGGTATTAAACTAAATTAAGTGGCTGAATGATAATTTGATTGGAGCAGTTCTAGTGATTGTTAAATCCAGGCCTGTTAAACAGTAAACAACATCTGCCATCAACGGTGATGTAGAGTCTGTAGCCTACTGCCTCTCCAATATTCAGACTAGTGGTCAATCAGTATGTGTTTATAATAATCATTTCTAAAATGTAAAAGGCATTTTCCTCCAGCATAGAGAAAATAATGATTATTATTATTAAATAATAAACTAAATTAAATTATTAAATCGTAATGTTTAAGCTGGTGTTTTTAGAAATGTTGATCATATTAAAAAAAGGAATGGGTTCACTTGAGTGTGTTTTTGGTCAAAAGCATGATTTTTGAAGCCTCAGGGATGTGCAGATTGATATGGTTTGTTAATATTTTGTGTTGGCCATAATCAGTTAGATTATGTCTGTTTGATAAACTGAGTTGTTTGAGTTATTTCTTTCACCCTCATCATGCCTGCCTTTCATGTACGATGCAGGTAAATTGCGATCATGAGTGAAGCTCCAGTATTGCGGAAGGCTATTCCACAGGCTCAGTCTACCGCCAGTGGTCACACTCAGATGACATCACGGCCACTACACATCACTGAGCCAACTGCCTCCAAACGTGTGTGCTTTTATAAAAGTGGTGATTCTCAGTTCAGCGGTCTGCCTGTGGTTATCAACAGCCGCACCTTTAAAACCTTTGAGGCTCTCCTGGATAGCCTATCTAAACGTGTGCCACTGCCATTTGGTGTGCGCACTATTACAACTCCTCGTGGTCATACGGCGGTTCAGTCTCTTGATCAGTTACATCATGGTCACTCCTACATTTGCTCTGATCGTCGAACTGTCAAACCTATTGACTTGGAACGAGCACGCCGGAAACTGCCTCCCTGGTATCACGCTCGTCCTGTTAGTGCCCGTTGCTTGGCTTGGTATACACATAGCTCTGCTCAACATGGAACCTTAAGCGCAAGACGGAATGAGCATGCCATCTTGTTGCACACACCAAAGCGGCTAGTACTGTTTCGTAATGGAGAGCCAGAAGTGAAGCACACCCTGATGCTGCAGAGAAGAACAACATACTCATTTGACGTATTGTTAGATCGCATGTCAGAGGTTATGCACTTCCCGGTGCTCAGGTTACATTCACCTGATGGAAGAAGGGTAAGAATTTTGTCCCCAAATCACATTCATTTTCAGTTACAATATTTTATTTTTAATTTCATTATTCTGCTTAAGCCTCTTAATTACATTTCATTTTAATTTAGTCCATTATTTCATTACATGTGATAACACACACACACACACACCTTTTCTCCCTGTACTTTAGTCAAGTCAAGTCAGCTTTATTTATATAGGGCATGGATTGTGTCAAAACAGTTTTACAATCTTAAACAGAAAAATAATGTTTCAGTGATGCAAACATAATTCAATTCTGCTTTAAAGCAGCTCAAAAATAAGGACAATAGTAAACAGTAAACTGTTTTTTTTTCAGTTAAAGTCAGTTAATTGTTAACTGTGTAAAGTTCATCAATTATGAAGTTCAATTCATTCAACTGTATACATTTTCGCTTTACCACAATTTACAGGTTTATATACAACAGGATGAAACGCCAAACTACAAAGACACATTCTCACTTGTTTTGACATGCCAACTTCAAAACCAAAAGAACCAAAAGCAAATGACCCATTAAAGGGGTCATATGATGCTGCTAAAAAGAACATTATTTTGTGTATTTGGTGTAATGAAATGTGTTTATGCGGTTTAAAGTTAAAAAAACACATTATTTTCCACATACTGTACATTATTGTTTCTCCTCTATGCCCCGCCTTTTTGAAACGCGTCGATTTTTACAAAACCCCCACTGTATGTGGGGGCGTGTTCGAACGAGCCGTTTTAGGTAGGTGTGGCTAACTCTTAACTTTTATAAAGAATATCTCTTTGGATTTGAGACTTTAGTCTTTGCAACTTTACAGATCTTCTTTATGCACCAAGAGCTTGTAACACTCTAAAGAGAAAGGAAAAAATGAAATCGCATCATATGACCCCTTTAACATATTTTAAGAGTATTGTTTAGAGATTAGAGTTGTGACCATGTCAGTTGTGTCTCTGGTGTAAGCAAGCTGACCCAGTGTTTGAGTGAGCATAAATAGCATTTACAGATTGAGGAAGACATGCTGCCCAGTGGCACTAAGCCTCTTTACTATTTCATCCTATTATACTGCACTGCAATCTGGGATAGGACATAGAGATGGGAATCAGAGACATGTCATTTAGACCACCAAACAAGCTTTATTAATAATGTGAACATTAACTGTTCTGTTAAGCATTATTAGGGGCCAAGCACCAAAGGTTAGTTGAATTATCAAGTTGAGTTAAAATTCAAGTGTATTATCCAAACTGTTCTCAAATAATATGCAAACCAATTTGGTGACGAGCACACCAAAGTAGATGTGATGCTATTATCTCAACATAGTCTCTGTATTTGCCTCTATCTGTATTTTACGAACACATTGGGTTATCATTACAACACTCATAACGTGTCTTGGGCATCATTCCCTGAAGGCACTCAACTTTCTGGGGCAGTGCCATCTTGTGGTCAAAAATTATAATGAAATTGTAAAAAAAAATGTAATAGCTTTTGATTAATTTTGTCTAATGTAATGAAAATGGTCTTGATTGATTGCTTGGATAATGCTGAGGAAATCAATATGAATTATGAATTATGGAAGCCTTCTTCTATTCTAGTCTTTATTCTTTGAAAGCCTACTTTGAAAACCTACTCGTTCTAGACCTGTAGTCTGATTTTCAACAAATTCGACTCAAATAATCTTCAGACCATGCCAGCAAAAAGGCATAGATTTCATGTTGATAGACAAAACCATTTTTATTAATTTATTCTTATAAACAATTAGATTAGAGTATCATCATTATCAACCAATTTACTGGCATGATGCCAAAAAGATTCTGAGGCTGTATCTCTTGTGGTAAAACAAAATATATGGAAACGTATATGGCAGTTTTATCACATATTTTGTGTACATGTGCCGTTGGTGATTGGACCCCAGTAATCGCCATTTGTTCGCCATTTGTGTCTCACCAAAATGTTGAAATTTGGCACACAGATAGAGAACAGTCGGAACATTAATCACAGTTGAAATCTCTAAATCAATCTTTCTTTCAACATCAACTGTCCAAGTTTACAGTTATGTTTATGCTAGTAACTTTGATTCCTTGTCTGATCCCCTCTGATTCCTTGGCTCAAGAAGACGATTCGATTGCACCGTTCTTGGAAACCCTACTTTTTCAGTGGTCAGAAAATATGCAATTTTAACTTCTGAACATTTTGGCCAAAACTCACAAGACTGGACTCTTTATATTCAATGCAGCATTCCAGGGTGAAGAGTTTTCCTCTGTTGGGCATTTTAGGCAAGAGTCATTTAAAATGTTGTTGTAAAATGATACATTTTACAAACACATTGGCTTATCATTCTGACACTTGGTACATGTCTTCAACACAATCCCTTAAAGGTACTCAAAATGTTGTGGGGCACAAATTATAATGAAATATCAAAAATTGCTAATATATTTTCATTAATTTTCCCTATTGTAGTGAAACTGGTCTTGATAGATTCCTTGAGTCAGACTGAGAACAATGATACCAATTATTTGAACTCTTCCTAGACCATTGGCCTGTTTTTCACCAAATCTGATTGAGATCATCTTCAGACAATGTCATAAAGAAGTTATGGATTTTCATATCATAATTGCTAAATTGCGAAGATCTTGAGTTTTCATCGAAGGGCGTGTCCCTGGCGGCCTGACAAAGTTCGATGTTTCACCTTGAAACAAGAAGTTGCTGTAACTCAGTCCGATCTGCCCCAAACTTCACACGTTTGATAAGAGTCCTGGCCTGAACACATCTACATGCCCATATTCGGTTATAGTCATAGCACCACCTGCTGGCAATAGGAAGTGTCATGTTCAACACCGTAATATACTTCTAGAAATATATTAAAAAGTATCAGCAAGTGTTAAATAGGCTAGCAACATGCTAGAAACATGGTAAAGCATGCTAGCAACACTTAGCTAATTTGCTAAATCATGCTATTAATACAATGAAACAGGAAGTTGCTATAACTCAGGTATGCAGTGTCTAATCTGCCCCAAACTTAACATGTTTGATGAGAGTCCTGGCCTGAACACATCGGCATGCCAAGATTCAGTTATAGTGATAGCGCCACCTACTGTCAACAGGAAGTGACATGTTTAACACTGTGATGCACTATTAGCAATACAGTAAAATATGCCATTGTGTGCTAAACATACTAGAAATATGCTCAAACATGCTAGCAACACTTACTAAGTGCTAAAGCATGCTATTAATGCCATCAAACAGGACGTTGTTGTAACTCATGAAAGTCATGTGTCCAATCTGTCTCAAACTTCACAAGTTTGATAAGAGTCCTGGCCTGAAGACATGATCATATTCGGTTATAGTCATAGCGCCACCTACTGGCAACAGGAAGTGACTTGTTTTACACTTACTTAACACTAGAACCGCCAGGGGTCACTGTATACCTAAAACCACCAGCGGGTAAATTTTACCCACGCACATGACAGCTGTTTCTGAATGGCTAAATAACATATTATTTCACTGTATTATGCTACTGTCTTCGCAAAGAAGTGTCTAGATAATTAAAAAAAAAAAGGTTTTATTCATTAGCCTACATCAGATCTGATTTGTTTTCTTCAGGAAACAGGCAGACTAGAATAAATAGCAACATAGCAGGGTACATTTGAGAACCAGGTATAATTATAGGTATAAATACCCCGTTTTTTTATCTGGTTTTATCTAAACAGTTTTTAACAACAGGGGATTGTAAATCACACAATTTTAGTAAAAGTCAGTGACTGGGAGACTTGAATGTTTTATTAAAAATATTTTATGTACGTTTTAAAAACAGCCACGGGTAAAATTTATCCCGTGGCGGTTCTAGTGTTAAACATGCAATGTCTGATCTGCCCTAAACTTGACATGTTTGATAAGAGTCCTGGCCTTAACACATCTTAAAGGTGCAGTATGAGATCTTGGAAAATGCTAACTTTAGCCTGTTAGCACTGAAAGCGAATGTCCCACCCTCCCTGCAATCACCGTCCAAAGCCACGCCCCCTGAACGCATATACGCTCACAGACCAGAATACCAGAGACAACATTACTACAATAGGCTGCATCAGCGGTTCCCAATTCCAGCACATGTTCCGAAGTGAAGTAAACTTCAACGGATTTCCCCTGCTCAGGGAGTAGGGAGCAATGAACACTGTGTTATCATATCTATCGGAACACAGTTCATGCACATAGCTCTCTTCTAACGTGCTGGTTATCTGAATCGGGTGTGTTAAATAAGTGAGACATGCAAAATATGAAGATCGGGGGGCGCGAGGACTGGTATTGGGAACCGCTGTGCTACATCATGTGTCATTCACCGGTGAGAAAACTTTAAAAGTACTACAATACCAGGAAGGAAGATCGGGTTGTTGATGTTTGTCTGCCATTCTTGCTCTGTCTGCACAGCGTGCGTGAATGCACGGATGACGTATCCTGTGTGCGCGAACTGGGTGCGCAGAGGTATGCTGATACATCAGACAGAGCGTTTTCATTTCTTGGTCCTACGCCTTCCACAGAATATAGAAATACACATAAATACATTTAGACCACTTAACTTAATGATTGCTATCGGGATGTGAAGAGACTTTCAACCAGCATAACAAAAAAGTTTTCTGAAGACAATCACCTATTGCACTTTTAAGGCCAATATTTCGTTATAATCATAGTGCCACCTGCTGCCAACAGGAAATTACTTGTTTTACACTAAATTAAACATGCAATGTCCAGTCTGCCCCTAACTTCACATGTTTAGTAAGAGTCCTGGCCTGAAAACATTTACATGCCAATATTCAGTTATAATTTATAGCGCCACCTGTTGGCAACAGGAAATGTCATGTTTTACACTAACTCAAACATACCATGTTCAATCTGCACCAAACTTCACAGATTTGATAAAAGTCCTGGTCTGAAGACATCTACATGCCAACATTCAGTTACAGTCATAGCGCCACCAGCTTTGACAAATTCCTCCTATATTTATCACTTTTAATTCATATTGCCCACCGTTAGCTGTTTTCCTAAAGCCACCGGGTGGCGGTGAGCCCAGGTGCGAGGGCCCTTTCATCGCTGTTTATTTATTTAATTGCTTTAAATTACTTTTTTCCCATATCATTCTACACTCCATACACCATAATGGCAAAGCAAAAAACAGCTTTTTAACATCTTTGCAAATTTATTAAAAATAAAAAACAAATGATTCCATTGCATAAGTATTCAATTTATATTTATTATATATCTGGGACGGTTGAAGTTTAGCTCAGGAGCATTTATATTGCTTGTAGATGTTACTACACTTCGAGTGAAGTTAACCTGTGGCAAATTCAACTGAATGGGTATGATTTGGAACGGCACACACATCTTAATAAAAGGTCTAACAGCTGAAAATGCATATCAGAGCAAAAACCAAGCCCTGA